AATTAGAACACTAAGTGGGCTATGCTCCGCAAGGATGTATGGATGCTTAGTTGTTTGATTTAATGAGGAATGTTCCAATCGTCCCCCTACACACAATAGTCCTTGAGAATCAATGTATGGCAGAAGTCGAATCAGACGGTTTGACTTTGGGAGGTCGTTCTTAGATGCAAGGGTGTTGATTTCAAATTTGAAATGATTTTGTTGGACTTCCTTCACCCAAAAAAGTTTGGCTTGTTCCAGTTCTTCTGGCGTTAAAGGATGTTTCAATGATGAATTGAGTTGTCCCTTAAACCGTGAGATAACTTGATTGCATGTAGCTGTGGCACGAAACAGGATTTTCAATGACGAACATCGACCGAGCATGCCCCAGAAGGGATGTTCTCTCAAGGTTTGTATCGCAACTATTACTTGAGGTCTTCGTTCTTCCAACTCTCTTGATGATGTCACTTGAGGAATAGTGAAATTGGGCGAATGTGATTGATCCTTTCGTAACCATGATGGTCCTGTCCACCAGAGAGAATGGTCTTTAAGTTGGGAGGCAGATAATCCTCTGGTGGCACAGTCTAGGATTTTCCTTGCCTGGTAAGTACCTCCACTGCGCTGAAGCAAGAGCTTCTTGAATCAAACATACTCCGTTGTGAGCATACTCTTTCCATCGCGATGGATGATTATTGACCCACGTAAATACAATTGAGGAATCTGTCCAAAGGTAGCAGTCGACCCTTTTCTGAAGATCGAGGACTCTCAGAATAGTAGTGATCAGTTTGGTTAGCATGACTGCTGCTGTCAGTTCCAATCTTGGTATTGTAAGACGCTTCAATGGTGTGACTTTCGTCTTGGCACACAGAAGATTGACACATCTCATTTTGATGATTAATTGATCGGATGAAGACCGTGGCAACCATTGCGTTTTGAGAAGCGTCACTAAACCCATGAATTTCGAGGTTACAACTAGTTGTTGTTCCAATCCATCGTGATATTTGGAGTTCCTCGAGTCCCTCAGCGTCCTTGAGAATTTGCTCCCAGGCCTTTTGTTGCAGTTTAGGAAGCTGAGTATCCCAAGAAAGTTTAATTGTCCATAACTCCTGCATGAAAAACTTGGACTTGATGAATAGTGGGTACAATAGCCCAAGTGGATCAAAATTCTGTGCTATCTGAGAAAGCACTTGTCGTTTGGTTGTGGAAGTTGTCGATGAAGCGGTCTGTCTAAATTGGAAGGTATCTGAGACTCAATTCCATGATAGTCCAAGGGCGCGAGTTACTGTGTCTTGAATTGGAATGAACGTCACCTCATCTTGGTGCTGGTGTGGAATTTTCTTCAATACCTCCACGTCATTGCAACGCCATTTTCTCAAGGGAAAGCCGCCCGTCATGCAGAGAAGATTCACTTGATGGGCTTTTTCCTGAGCTTCTCTTATTGTATCAGCGCCACCAAATACATCATCGACATAGCGTCCCTTTATAATAAGCTCTCGAGCTAATGGAAATTTCTCACCTTCATCCTCAACCAATTGGAGCATTGACTTGATGGCCAAGTATGGTGCACAAGCGAGACCATAAGTTACTGTTACTTCACAATGTTCTCTCCCTCTCACCAGAGAATTCGCTGAAACCTTCAGTCATCAGGGTGAATTTTAATTTGTCTATACATTTTGGTTACATCTGCCGAAAACAGGTACTTGAACTGACGTAGCCAGATAAGAATGTCGAAGATGTCAACTTGAATTTTAGGTCCCGTGTGCAGCAGTTCATTTAGAGGCAAACCTTGTGATACTTGACATGAGTCACTGAAGACAACTCTCAATTTAGTGGTAGTACTTGACTCTCGAATCACTCCATGGTGAGGGAGGTAAAAGCCGAATTCAGGCTCTGGCTGATTAGAAGGTACTCGTACCATGTGTTGAAGATCTTCATATTCCCTCAGAAATGCTGAATAAGCTTGATGGAATGTTGAATTGACTTTGAACTTGGATTGNATTCTCCCTTCTTCTTTCTCGGCTTTTCCTCCTCTGCTCCTCTGCTCCACTGTTTCTGTGCTTCTCTGCTTCTGGTTGTTTCCTCGTCGCTTTCTGGATCGAAAGTGAGTGCTCTGGGGCAGCCCACCGCCTTATATACGCCCCAACTACGCAAAACTTCAACATTCTGAAACGTTTTGCGACGCAAATAGGTTGTGCGCATGTGCAGAGAATTATCTCGACATTCCGTGGGCTCTGATTGGCCGGTTTCAATTCGAGGGAGCGTCAGCGCCATCTACAGATGTCGCCAAGAGTGGCAAAATTGTCGCCCTCTACAACAAGTGGCTCCCTCGCATACTCAATCATCAAAGTAGTTTCCTACTTATCCAACAATGAGTTACGAGAAAGATGTTTAGGGGCGAATACACAGAATAATAACGGAAGTCTGACTTCTTTAATTTGGACTTTTTCTCCGAAGCACATTCATTCGGGGAAAACTGTTGTAGAAATATCGACACATCTTGCAGTCTGTATCTTCAACGAAGGATTTGGCGGTATTTTACAGATCATGAACCAAATGGGCATTAGGATAGGTCTACAGACCAACACATTCGCTTCTGAGAGGGACCAGGAGAGAATTGAATGTTCGGAAAGGCGCGTGTCTAATGTTGCGAAAATGGCAAGAAAAGCTAGAAATTCAAAACAATTGGAAAGGGATGAATTTTATGAAGAACAGAAAGGCGTCTTGTATGGTGCTGGGATTGCAGATTAATTGCTTTTTCTCCATAATTTAATGTTTATTTTTAAAATTACAAACTTAAAACAGACATATACTCCATGTTGATCTAAAAACTCATCAAATATTTGGTACTTTGCGAATTCTCATTGTCGTTTACGTAAGTAGAGCTGTTAATAATCAATAAATTCAACTTTTTTCTATAAAAAACGTTTTTTATCTACTTTTTTATCTACTAATCAATGCTCAATAAATCATGAAAAGGATCATTTTCCTTGATTTTATTTAGTTTTCTAAATATATATATCGCTGGTGTTTCATCATAGATTTTAACAGACTTTGTTTCTCACCCAATTGAATTCGATGACCTTCCTCTCTCATCGGTGGTAATTCGTTGAAACACCTCATTACCATCCCAACTATCGTTTGCGCATCGATTTCATACCTCGAAAGGTTTTAGCAGCACAGTGGATTTTCGATCTCTCAATCTCCATATCTCCAGGAATGACTACATAGACTTCCTTCATTCCAGCAGTGGTTTGTGCAATGGAGGAAGTTCATCTGATTCAATTGAGTGAGAAATAGTCTCATATAATCTGCATCTAACACCAACGATGTACCCGAATAAGATCCGAATATTCCGAAAAATCAATAAAATCCAGGAAAATGACCTTCATTTTTATGATTTATTGAACATGGTTTAGTAGAAATTGAATCTTCTGAATATCATCACCCAGCACAGGACATAATTCAGAGTCGAAGACATGAAACAACATGTGTTACTCAAATCCGAAAATTAGTTTTTGAGCAATATCTCGAAAGGCATAGTAGATGGAGATTTTTATAATGGCCTTGTTTGAGATTGAAGCTAAATTGAGATAGCAGTTGGGGAAAAGTGGAATTGTGGAAGGAGGTGGAAAATTAAAACACGCGGAATTATAAAACCACACTGTTGATGTACTTTATTGTGGAATAACCCACGCGTCTCGATAAATTAATAATGTTACACTGTTGAGTTACTCGACAAAGTCAATTAAATGATGATTTGAAAAATGCACTGCACTTGAGATTCTCTCGAGATTGAACTTGATGATTGACTCAAAATAATTGATAGTTAACTCGGGATTAATTGATAATTGAATTGAATTAAATATAGACGCTGTACGAAGCGCTAGACTCAAATATATCGCGTTGATCTACTCCGGTGATGTACTCGATTGAGCGGTTACGGCGATACAAAACTGTGATTAGAGTGACTCCCTCGGAGTCTAGAATGATACTATTGACTTTTTCGGCGATTTTCTTCGTAACTGACCGTGACCCCCGAAGGGTCCCGAAGTTTCTCGAGATTTTCGTTGAGTCCGGTGACCGTTTGACTAGTTGGAATAGCTGGATTTCAAACAGGGCTTTTTTATAGACTTTATTCTTCCCTTCAAGAAAGGTTCTTACCAATAAATCGATATTTTGTTTCAATGCTGAGATATTGTAAACGAAACTAATTGGTAACTGAATCTGGAGATAATTTTTCAATGAATATCTCTGAATATACAGTCAATGGAAAATTTTTTATAGAAGCTTCTCATTCTGCTCTACAAAAAAGATCTTTCAGAAATGCCTCCACCTCCACCTTTGGATTTAAAAATATTTTTGAGAAACAAATTTTTTGGGAGCACAAAGTTTCGTTTTTCTCTGCATTTTACCTCTGATTTTGTGAGAGCACCAAAAATAGAAATGATTTAAAATAGGTATGTTTTTGTTAGGAAATTTTCTGAACTTTACGATGAAAGAATTGAAAATTGAAAAACATTGGGGAACGACCCCAAATGGCCATTTGAAACTTTCTTTTTGAATTTTCTATGCCAAAATACGTAGATACAGAAAAAACATTTTTTTTTAAGCTGAGAAAATGTCCAACGAAATCTATGGGTTCAAATTTTTTTTATCGTTCTTAGGGACTCGTAATTAGAATTTTAAAAAAGTGCTTAGAAGAACAGAAAAATTCAAACTTCAATATCTCTCCCAATAATGGAGGTAGAGAGCTCCGAGTGCGCTCATTTTTCTTCTGTTGGAATATACTTTTCGATAAGAAATAAGAGGAAAAGTTTTAAAATTTTTAGGCAATTTTTCATATTCAGGATTGGCGGAATCGCCCATATAGATAAATTGGGCCCTTTCACGTGAACGGCCACATTTGCCGATTTACATTATCTCCTATAGGCCTGAAAATATTCAATATAACAAAGAGTCAGTGTTTTTCGTGAGGCGAAACTACGCATGAACCCCAAAGAGAAGATAAACATTCTATTTACCAACTTCTCGAGACGTGGACATCCCATCGCCAAGTGAATAAGTGTGGCATCGGTAATGAGAGCACACTCCTCCAAATCCATTTTTTCTAATAATCTGCAATTCTGGAAACATTCATTAAGCAAGAGAAAACGAAATTAATTGATTTTTCTAATCGGAAGGATCATCACAATGGTTATAGGGTTAGAGACTTCTTTGGAGAACCATGCAAAAAACTTTTCTTTACAGAGTAAACACTATCTAATAAGAAAGATCTATCAGCATCCCCTTTGAAATTAATGATAACCGAAATGATTTTTTTAATTGACCGAACTTAAGAACTTCTAATGCTTCCTATCCCTCTATATTTAATGTAGATCGCTGAAGAATTCAAAATTATATATACAGGGTGCCCCATTTGAAAAAATGCGGCCAAATATCTCCTAAGGCGTGTAAGTAACAACAAAATGTTGAATACAAAAATTGTAGGGTTTCGAAGGGATCATTCGATGCATTTATTATTTTGAGCTTTCAAGCTAATGTTTGCAAGCTGCAAGCACAAAGGGCTTTTTTTTAATAGGAACCGCATTTTTCACCCCAATGAAACTTGTTCATCTTGATGAGTTGTTTTCAGATACCTCATCATTCATGTAATTTCCTCTAATTTTCCTCGAAAAATGCCACAAAAACGAGTTCTGTGGTCAAATTGATGATTCAGACTTTTTTAGCGTGACCCAGGATGCACCACGTGGAGGTAAAGTCTGCTTCACATCTCTTGTGCTAAAAAAAAAAAAGAAAAAAATAGCGCCCCTCCCTCTACAACTTTCCTTTCGATCTTCCGAATAACTGAATCTGTAGGATAATATAGGCGATTGCGGTGCCACTCTCGATATGTGCGAGCAGCGGCTCGATACACTCCTCTACATATTCCCAAAACGAGTAAAATATCGACCATTTCACTGGCTGAATACATCGTGATGTGTTCAATAAAATGACAAGTGATACTAACTCGATTCTGGTTGAATTGGCACTGATTAGAATAAGAGAATCCTCGAAGTAGTAGTAAAATTGTTTGTTTATTGTTTACATTTGATAACTCCTATTGGTAAACAGATCAACGGAATAATTACACCAAGGTGCGCCAAGAATGTTTGAATCTTCAAATCTGACCACAAAACTCGTTTTTGTGGCGTTTTTCGATTAAAATTAGAGAAAATTATATGAATGACGAGGTATCTGAAAACAACTCGTCGAGATGAACAAGTTTCATTGGGGTGAAAAATGTGATTGCTATTTTTAAAAAAGCGCTTTGTGCTTGCAGCTGGCAAACATGAGCTTGAAAGCTCAAAATTACAAATGCATCGAATGTCCCCCTCGAAACCCTACAATTGTTGTATCGAACATTCTTTGTTACGTGCCCGCCTTAAAAGATATTTGGCCGCATTTTTTCAAATGGGACACCCTGTATAAATATATAGACATTAAAAGTTTCTTTACTTTTATTTATTACTTACTCTTGCCAATGCCTGAAACCCAGCATCAGTGAAATGAGTACAGGCAACACATTCTAAAACACTGAGCAGAGGACAGTGTTGAGCGATTGTTACCAGCGATGCATCAGTCAAATTTGGACAGTTGGATATACAAACGTAATGCAGTCGTGGACACCTCTCACTCAGCTCACGCACTGCGTCATCTGTGATATTCTGGAAGGGGAATGTGAAAAATTAATAAGTAGGCACTAATTTTAATCTAAGAAAAAACAGCTCGAGAAACAACAGCCCAAATGACATGTGTTTGAGAACGTGATATTGTCATCGTAGAGCCAAAGGGACGTAACAGCTATGCTTATGCACACCACTTACACCTTTTTGGCTATACGACGATGATATGTACGTATTCCCTTTCTTCCGGGGCTCTTTCCACCTGCTGACGCTCTGAAAAGGATAGAGCATTGGTGTTATCAGGTAAAATTGAATCGATAGAAAATGTTCGACTGTAATACAGGATATAGCAGTAATAAGGCCTAGTCGAATAAAATTATCCTTAAGGATGGTACAATAGCAAATATAAAGAATGGTTAAAAAATCAGAAAAGTTGACTGAACAAAAACAATTAGTACAGTGTTTCTGATTTTTTGTTCCATTTTCTTGACTGCTTAATGCAGTTAATTATGAAGGTAGAACTAATGAATGTACAAAATGAGATGAAGCAGTTTTCACCTCAAAATATATTTCTGGGAAACATCATGGCATTGAAAGCAAGTAGGTAACTAAATTTCCATAAGGACTCTATCTGCAGAACGAAAAGGAATCAAGAATATGAAAAATATCACATACACCCACACAAACGCGCGCGCCTACCAACATGTCTGCAAAAATGATTAAAAATAAAACTGAACGGCATTACAATATATTCCTCCCGTTGGGTCAGAAAGTTAAAAATGTTCTAGTAAATACCCTGCACTCATGGAGATTGATGGCCTCCAAGTTCGGACAGTACCGCGCCAGGCACTTGATAGCCCTGTCTGTGAGTTGTCGACATCCTTTACTGAGGAAACTCCTGAGCTCTGGACAACCACGTGCCAACGCCTCAACCCCATTATCAGTCAATAATTCACACCACGATAAATTGATGTGTGTCAGTAGTGGACAACCTTCCGAAAGATCCTTGATTGCTAAATCTGTTATCTCTGGACATGAATCTAAATTCAAACGCTGAAGCTTTGGACAGTGACTGCTCAGCGATGCACACGTTATATCGGAGATTTTCTTGCACTGGCTGAGGTTCAGTTCTTCAATATTTGAACATGATTGGGCGAGAGTGCGCATTGAATTATTGCCGATACTCTGACAACCACGGAGGGACAATTGACGAAGAAAACCACCACATCGTCTTGAGATATTTTCTATTACTGGTCCCTAAATGAAAAAAAAACAATTGTGAGATTTCATTGATGTTTTGACGGCGTACAGGGACTTATAAGATACATGAGGAGTATATACAAGGTGTTCCATAGAATATAACCAAGGTGAATTTGAAACACCTCCTACATGATTGGAGGTGAAGATTTGATTCTTTACTGCACCTGGAAAACTTGACAAGTTTGGATAAAAATAATTTCAGGTGGTCATCATCCCTTGCCCGGAGAAAATAAGTGTGGACGTCCGCATGAAAAGTGACCACTTTGTCGAATTTAGTTCCCGAGATAATCGCAGTTTTGTAATTCTGGTTCAGATTTGTCATTTTTGTTTCTTGGTTAAAAATGGACTATAACCGCATCGAATCGCGCAAGCTTCCAGGCTTCATCTTCATTATAAATACATCTTTCTATTTTTCTGAAAAAAAAGAACAGGAACCTCTTTGTCGTATTGTGAGAAAACCCGGGAATGTTTGTATTTTGTAACAGTTTATCGCATTCTATAGTACATTCCCAGGTAAGAATTGACGATAGAAACAGGGCTCATCAAGCCCTGGACCAAGGCTCGGAAATGCTCAATCAGGGCTGGGGCTCAGCCTTGGATCAATCCTCCTTCAGCCCTACAATGATAACCTCGTTCCAGGCTTAGTCCGCAAGGCTTGAACGAGGCTCGGTGCCAAGGCTTGATTCAAGGCTTGAATTACCACATTTTAAAGGCTCAATCGAGCTTCGGCTAAATAAACTGGAGTATTGTTTATAGATATTTGTATAAACAATTTCTTATTGCTTCATAACCCTTTTTATAAATTTAGAGTAACCTATGAAAGAGAGTGCGGTCGGACCGTGCATCACTGTTGCTAAATGTTGTTGGTGATTGTGATTGTCGGTTAATTAACAATGGATGGGAAAAAAATTATTATCATCATTAGTTTCTATTAACTATTCGTCTTGAATTATTACTGCGCACCTGGGAATTGAAATACAATGAAATCAAACATTTAATAATTTGCTCCTCTGCTGGGGTTCGATCCGGGGTCCTTCTGATCCGTAGACAAGCGCGCTATCCACTGGGCTACCTGCGACTTCTTAGGATGATACATTTTTTTCGGGTATAAAAATTCAACTTGTGTTAGTGTTATTTTGTTATTTTGTTGATATCCTAATTAAACTTCCTGAACTTGAATAAATGATAGGTCCGATGGATTTATGAGTTCAGAATCGATTGATTAATTAATTATAGATAAGGATAATAATAATGTAGCCACGTGCACAAAGAGCTGCTCTAGGCCTGGCCTGGGGTGAGCTTAGATAACTTGGCGAAAAATTATAGCTATGTTTGTAGATGATGATAATGTTTTCACCACAATTAGCTGATGAGTATTGATATAACAATTGGGGAAATTAATGGGAAGTAACTTTAATTTTCGAGGCCTTGCTGAGCCCTGAATAAGCCTTGACGTACTGAGCCTGAATACTGAAAGCCTGGACTAGGCCTGAATTGAGCCTCGCCAATGGCCCCTTTAATCATCCTCATTTGAAGCTCAAGTGAACGATGAAACCAAGCCTATCCCAGGCCTGAATAACTGAGCCTCGCCAACCCTGGGCTCATACAGGCTTGTTCTCATCGTCAGCCTATGTAATTCTTACCTGGGTTGGTGAAGGGAAATACATGATCACACATATATTTAGTGATTTCAAGTATAACAAGCCAGTCGCTCTTTGTTTTATAACTGGGTGTGTCATGTTTGTTAATCAATTGCCCAGGGAACAATTTTCGCGGATGCCACCTAAAAGTTCCCAGCAAGCTCGGTAAATATGCGGAAATTTACCGGTAAATTGATAGCTGGGTGGTAATTTCGTTTCGAATCGACATCTTTACGTAAATCAGGATCTTTATGGATGTATGATGCCTAAATTTTATTGCTGAACCTAATTTCTGACCCCTATTTCCTATCCTCATTTCTCATCTTTACTTTTGACCCTTATTTCGGACCCTCCTTTAGGCTTTTATTAGGTGTACAAATAAGTTTTAGGACACTTTGTAAGAAATTTAAAATAATCTCTCATTTTGAATGACCTTCAGCCATCTGTTAGATTCACGGAAGCCTTCTGCAAAGAAAGTTTCATCTTGCGAGGCGAGGAAATTATCGACCCATTTTTACACTTCTTCAAATGGTTTGAATCGCACATCAGTCAATTCGTTTTGCATCTTCCGACACAAGTGAAAATCAGTTGGAACTAAGTCTGGTGAATACGCCGGGTGTGGTACAACTTCCCATCTAAGAGCCATTAACGTATCTTTGACCGGTTTACCCACAAGAGGCCTGGCGTTGTCTGGAGCAATTTTACTGGACGTTTTCCTTTGCAAGCAAATTGATTTTTTTGTTCAATTTCTTAGTTCAATCTTATTAATTATTGACGATAACGATCGGCAGTAACTGTCTCGTCAGACTTTAAAAGTTCATAATGCAGTGCGCTTTTCATATCCCACCATATACACAGCATGATCTTCTTACAATGCATATTGCACTTCGGTGTCGGTGTCGTCGGCTCGCCAGGGTTAACCCAATGATATTTGCGTTTTGGATTATCAAAATAAATCCACTTTTCATCGCCGGTCACAATTTTCCACAAAAAAGACTTTCTATGTTGCTTATTGTAAAGATTCAGACATATGTCAGGTCGGCTATCTTTATTTTCTTGAGTCAAAAAGTGTGGCACCCACTTTGTTCCTTTTCGAATCTTTCCCATTGCGTTTAAGCTGTAGGAAACGGTCTGTTGAGTTACTCCAAGCTGTTTTGCAAGTTGTTTTTCCGTCTGGAAAGAGTTTTCATCCAGCGACGCTTGCAGTTCCTGGTCATCCACCCTTACAGGGGCCCCGGTACGTTCACGGTCGCTAACGTCGAAATCACCTTCTTTAAATCGCTTATACCAATACTCACATGTACTTTCAGATGCAATGTTGTCCCGAAGAATAGAACAAATCGATTGATATGCTTTCCTAACAGTTTTTCCATGATGGAATTCATAGCAAATACAGTGTCTAATAAATAGCTTATCGATCTGCACGTTTTATTCACAGGATTTAAGGTTATGTTTATGACTCCCTTATGTTTTGATACTACATAACAAACCCCACCATATCATATGTGAGCGGTAACTTTGAATTACTTTCAAGACATGGAATCGAAATGTCCTAAAACTTATTTGTACACCTAATATTTCTGACTCGGAAGGCTAAACCTTATTTTTGATCCTTGAGACCCTCAGTTTCGACTCGCATTTCTAACTCTCGTGAATTTTAAGTTTGATTTGTTATGTCCGCCCAGATGTCACTAGGGCAACCAGCGCCAATTTCAAAATTGGCGGAAAGGGTTGGCAGGAACGTTTGCAACTGAAGCCCGGATGGGCAATCCAACGAAGTCCAACAATTATCTCATGAAATCTCTGCTAAATCCTTGACTTGATGATTAATAATTATGAGGAACAGGTTATTTAAAATAAATCCAACACTGAGTGCTTCGGGAGAGCACGTAAACTATTTATTCAATCAACAAAACTTCAAAACTCTAATTATTTGAAAAGGTAAAAGATCTGAACTCTGAAAACTATGTCGTAGAACTGCCTCTAGATATTCAAAAACTGCCCCTCGAAGGGTCTTACTTCCCCTACTCTTTTCCAAAGTTGCGCACGCATCTCCTATGTTCTTACATGCTAATAGAAACTGAAGGGAGAAAGCTAGGCGACGTTGCGATGCAGTCAACGTTGCCTAGTCTCTCAACTTTGGGACACACGTGTTCCAGGAGAAAATGACGTTTCTCACAAGGAAACAAAGGACACAAAAGGAGGTCTGTTCATGATTAGTCATGGACCCTCTTGGAAAGCAGACGCATAAAATTTTACGATGTTTATGGCGACTCGAGAAAAATCAACAGAAACCCGATATTATTTCAGAGTGTTTATTCCTATGTTTATTTCAACGGTCTATATTTTCCTTTTCTTCCAATGGACCTCTATATTCGAAAATTGAAATAATGCATCGTTCTTCTCCGGAAAACACGTGCCCCAAATACGCAGTATAAAATAAAAGAAGGATAAAATAATTATTTAAATTTAATTATTCTGATCAGACTAATATTTAAATTGCCCGCCAGGTGTGCATAACGCCACCTAGTTACGAAGGGCCAGCGACATAACAGATTTCGGGTTGGGGACAATCGAATCGAGATAGAAGCAACCTAGGGAGACATCTGGACGGAACACATGGAGTTTGAAGCTTGTTAAGGGCATGAATGACTTCGCTAGAATAGCTTTATTATCGACTATGGACGATTATCGAAATTTCAATTTCGCGGAGCTTTTGGGGTAATAAATTATATTTGGCAGTAACTAAAGATACACGCACTCATTGATGTAGAGTAATTATATTGTGCAATTGAAGAATGATTTCGATGAAGAATATAGCATATATGCGAAACTTATGATGAAATATATTGAGGAGAATTAAGTTCTGCACTTTTCTGTTTTCAATATACCAATTTTTTCGGAAAAGATCCGTTTCCAGTTAATTTGTTCCATGAACATAATTTTTTTCTGCATGAACATTCAAGCCGAATGTATTTAGTGACGAATTCATATATGAGCGATATTGGAAGGAACTGCTTTCATTTATTTATTATGGAAAATCTGACTAAATCATAAAATATCTTCTCTTGACTATCTTCTCGTGACTTGGCTACCTTACGATAATTCACAGAACGAATTCACCAGACGATCAATAGAAAAATAATGTCCAATACTCCGATATACTTTTTTATCCGAAAAATTATTCATGTGAATCGCACTGATTCATCCAGGGAATGTTAGCCAATAACATGGATTCTATGGAATCTCGATTGTTAATGGTAAAGAGGAAGTTACTGGAAATGATCTATATTGGTGATAGTAAGAGAAAAAAGTAAGCCCATGTTATTTCAGAAAGAACTTGAATGATTTCGAGAATCCGTGCATATCAAGTCATATAATTGTCATGCTCCGCGAATTGTTAAACAACAATCTTCATATATAGGGAAAGGGATCTTAGTATATTGAAGGAATTTCTTCGTTTCTGATTAGATTACCTTTCGCAAATGAGATTGATTTACAGGGAAGCAATGCAAAACAAAAAGCATTCAAATTTTTGTCCGTTTGAATCCATCAGCGATTGAAACTCGATTCATCCTAAAACGAAGTAGATAAAACAAAAACTTTTTTTTAGGGAGCATATGTTTGCGCCAGATTCGTTCAGATGTCGTTCTGTAACTCATAAAGTGCTTCTCGCCAAGAATTAGGATTATAGGTTATGGCATTTTGTCATACCATAATAGTAAATTCCCAAAGAAACCAAATGAATTTCTCCTGTTCGATATTCAGAGGTAGAACAATAATGAGGAGGCAACCCTTAGCTCAGGAAGGTCAAGAGGAAATTCGTGAGAGTATTGTAACAAACTTGTCAATAAATTATAAAATTATTTAACAGTTTTCAAATTCTACCGCTTAATTCCAGTCAATATAAGAGTTATCTCAGTAACCAACGTCGTAACTAGCACCTTACGTTACAATATTCACATTCTGCTGCCATCTGCTGTGAATCTGTTCACCCAAAACACAGTCGGTAAAATCGAATTAGGATAGATCAACGTTCGTCCTCCCAATTTTTTGCGTAAACGAACAGTTGTTATTTCCTCTCTTCACTCATCGAGAAAATCGATTCAATAAGCTGTCAGCCATGACATTTAAAAGTCACATATTGACGTCGTTAATAATCAATGAAGGATGGTAGAGATATCAGTATATTCAAAATAAGTGTACACGAGGTCTCTTCCGGAATCACAATTGGTGAATAATTTCAGTGGCCTCGAAGTTATTTGTTATATTATCAGTTCATATGGAACTTTTTTTATCAAATCAATATGACGAACTTTGAGTTGATCGTTAACATCATAAATGGGACCACTGTTTATGTGTAAATCGGATACATCGATCTATTCAAAACGTGTCCATTCTCATAGATTGTATACTTATATATTCCACTATATTTGAATCCTCTCAAATTGTCAAGTACTCAATTCATAAATTTTCAAATAACATATACGCATGTACAAGAACTCGCTCACCCTCACATTCAGTGGAAAATAGGCTTCAGTGTAGTTAATTATCGGGAATATCTAGTCTTCACGCGAAAATAAATTTTGAATCATAACCCCTTCGCTCAATTTATGAATAAAAGCAATAAATTATTGAAGATTTTTGAGTATTGGTCTCATCCTCCTGCGACAATTTATTGTATGAAGAGAAATATCAATAACTCAACTCAATTATGGAGTATCGAACGAATACCATTCCATGATATTCCCTCACGTGTATAGATCGCCCCAACAGACAATTTGTTGCACATAATATATAACCATATGTTTTTAAAAATATTGTTTCCAGAAAAATGGCAATATGTGAAAAGATTCAATTAGTCCCTTCTCAAATCTCCGAACTAGTATTCGATAATGATATAATATATGATTGAACATTATCGCGGCTTTTTAGCCCATCAGTAACTTATCGACATGGCATTTTGAATTTGCTGTGTATGCGGGTGATGGCCTCCTAGAATTTGGAAGGGGAATCGCCACTACTCT